TCAAGGTACAGAAGTAAAAGCAAGTCTGAACCTAAAAAGCAGGTTGAATGTTGGAATTATGACACACCTAGTCATTTCATGAGGAATTGCATAAAACCAAAAAAACCTGAAGCTAACTCTACAAACGTTACAATATATGAGGTACAAAAGGCTTTGATTCTTGCTATACAAAGTCCAATTGATGATTGGCTCCTTAATTCTGGTGCTTCATTCCACTATATACCATACCATGAAATGATGCAAAACTATGTTACTAGAGATCATGGTGTAGTCTATCTGGCTGATAGATAACCAATATATATTATAGATATAGGAGATGTGTAAATCAAGACAATGAATGGATCTATATGGAACTTGCAAAATGTAAGACATGTTCCTGGACTAAAGAAGAAGTTGATCTCGGTCGGACAACTTGATGATAGTGGTCATTCAATCCTTTTATCTGGAGGTATGTGGAAGGTATTAAAGGGAGTAATGGTTTTGGCTCGTAGAAAAAAAACTTGTACCCTGTATATGACCACAAGATCTGCAGACATAATTGTCTTTATTGAAGCTGAAAATCAGGCATAGCTATGGCAATATAGACTCTACCATATAAGTCAAAAGGGGTTAAAGATACTTCAGTTAAAGGAAAAGTTGTCAGAGTTAAAAAAATATTGATCTAGACGGAAGGTATTAAAAGGAGCAATGGTTTTAGCTCATAGAAAAAAAATTGGCACCCTGTATATGACCACAAGATCTGCAGACATAATTGTCTTTATTGAAGCTGAAAATCAGGCATAGCTATGGCAATATAGACTCTACCATATAAGTCAAAAGGGGATAAAGATACTTCAGTTAAAGGAAAAGCTGTCAAAGTTAAAAAAAAAATATTGATCTAGACATCTGTGAAAGCTGTGTTTTTAGAAAACAAAAGAAGTTCAGTTTCTTAAAGGTCGGCAAGACTTTAAGATCAAGAAAGCTAAAACTGGTACACACATATTTATGGAGACTGACTCCAGTAGCATTTCTTGGATGTTCTTGGTATTATGTGACTTTCATTGATGACTTCAGCAAGAAGATATAAGTCTACTTTCTGAAAAATAAATCTGATGTGTTTTGAAACATTCAAGAAATGAAAGGCTATGGTTGAAACTGAATCAAGTCTGAAGTTGAAATTCTTAAGATCTGATAATGAAGGAGAATACATTAATGGAGGTTTCAAAGAGTATTGCACTGTCCAAGGTATCAGAATGAAAAAGACCGTTCCAAGCATACCACAATAGAATGGCATTGTTGAACGGATGAACATGACCATCAATGAATAAGCTAGAAGTATGAGGTTGCATTCTAGGTTATCTCAAACATTTTGGGTTAGTGCAGTTCATACTGCAGTTTACTTAATCAACCGTGGACCATCAATTCCTTTGGAGTTTAGACTACTTGAGAAAGTATGGAGAGGAAAAGAAGTATAACTCTCTCATTTAAAGGTCTTTAGATGTGTTTCTTATGTGCATATAGATTCTAATGCTCGCAACAAACTAGATGTCAAATCCAAGAAATGTTTCTTCATTGGCTATGGAGATGAAGAATTTGGATTTCAGTTCTGAGATGATCAGAACATAAAGATTATCAAAAGTAGGAACGTGATCTTCAACAAGAAAGTTTTGTACAAAGACAGATCAAGTATAAAAATAGATGTGACTGATTTAGATACAAGTCCATAAAAGTCTGAATTCATCAGATTAGAAGGGCTTCTCGATGTTACCGAGTAGAACAAAACTCAAGAGTCTTTACGAGAAGATTCAAGTACATCTGTACCCACTACTACACAAAAAGATGCAGAGCCAAGTGAACCAACTGTTTATGTTCGCAGGTTTTTAAGGACTGCAAAGCCCCTACAACAGTTCATATTTATACTGAATTATATTTTGCTGACAGATGGTGGTGAACCATTAACTTATGAAAAATCCTTACAGGATGGAAACTCGAGCAAGTGGGAGTTAACCATGAAAGACAAGATGGAGTCGTTGTTGAAGAACAAGACTTGGGAGCTAACCATACTACTTGAAGGAAAGAAGGTTTTGTAAAACAATTGGGTTTACAGAGTAAAGACCGAGTATGACGGAAGCAAACTGTTCAAGGCAAGACTTATTGCAAAAGGGTTTCAACAAAAGAAAGGGATTGACTTCTCAGATATTTTCTCTAGTTGTGAAGCTCACAACAATCAGAGTTGTTTTGGGAATAGTAGCTATAGAAAATTTATATCTTGAACAATTTAGATGTAAAAATAACATTTCTTCATGGTGAATTGGAGAAAGACATTTACATGCAACAACTAGAGGGGTTTGTAATACAAGGAAAGGAGAACCAAGTCTGCAAGCTAAAGAAAAGCCTATATGGTTTGAAGCAAGCTCCAAGATAGTGGTACAAGAAGTTTGACAACTTCATGTGTAGTTCGGGATATAGTAGATGTCAGGCTAATCATTGTTGCTATGTCAAACATTTTGACAACTCTTATATCATTCTATTATTGTATATGGATGATATATTGATTGTAGGATCCAGCATGGAAGAGATTGACAAGTTGAAACAACAATTGTCAAAACAGTTTGAAATAAAGGATCTGAGAGCTCAACAAATACTTGACCTAAAAATCATTAGAGATAAAGACAAATGCATACTAAAGCTTTCATAAATAGAGTATGTCAAGAAGGTTTTCAGCAGGTTTAGTATGGATAATGTTAAACCAGTAAGTACACCTCTAGGGAATCTTTTGAAGCTTAGTAGAGACCAGTTACCAAAAACTAAGCTACAATGTGGCTCTTCGATGTATACTATAGTCTATACCAGACCAGACATTGCCTATGCAGTAGGAGTTGTAAGCCAATATATGAGCAATCCTAGAAAGCAGCATTGGAAGGTGGTGAAATGGATCATGAGGTACCTAAAAGGTTAATCGGAGACATGTCTTACCTTTATAACTGGTGGTTTGAAACTTGAAGGTTTTGCAAACACTGATTTAACAGGAGATGTTGATAGTAGAAAGAGTAACTGATTTAGCAGGAGATGTTGATAGTAGAAAGAGTACTACAAGATATATATACACTCTAGGAGGCACTTCTGTTTCTTAGAGTTCTATCTTGCAAAAGATAGTCGCTCTTTTAATGACAGGAGCTGGATATATTGCAGTCTCAGAATCTGCAAAAAAGATAGTATGGCTATAGAATTTCCTAAAAGAATTGGATAATATGAATGGAAATGGTACTTTGTATAGTGACAGTTAGAGTGCAATCTTCCTTACCAAGAATCCAGCATTTCATTCTAGGATTAAGCATATTTAGATCAAATATCACTTCATTTGACAATTGCTAGACGATGAACAACTACTGCTAGAAAAGATATGTAGAAGTAAGAATCTAGCTGACATGTTAATAAAAAAAAAATACATTTGATAAACTGAAGTTGTGTACAACTTCAGTTGGTCTTCAAAGATAAAAGGTAATGCAATTGTTTGTCTTCAAGTGAGAGATTGTTAATAAGTGGAGACAAACAATGCCCCACCATATGCAAGTGTAGATACCTAACCTTCCACTTTGCACATGATGAAGGATATAAATGGTGACATAAATTATGGTATGATTTATGCTCCTTCCCTCCTATTTGTGTATATATATGCTTAGTGAAGAGCTGCAGATGTGTGTGTAAAAACATAAAGAGAACAGAACAGAAGAGAGAGCTTGAGTGTAGAGTTGAGTTAAGATGAGTTTTCTCCTCTTTTTTATTTGTATTATTTCTTTAAGTGATTAATACAAATCAGTAGTTCTGTTAAGTAAGCAAGTTACTAATCACGTAAATTTATATGTGTTTAAATATTTAAATGTCCCAACATATTGGCCAAGGGTTATTCGTTGATCGATAAAGGAAGCTACCAAAGGTGTGAAGCGTGCAGCACCATGATATTCTGGGGAGATCAATCACTGAAACAGAGAAATCCATATCGTAGTTATATTCGGATTGTCATAAGACCATGTACTTATAACATAGACAACTCGATATCCCATGTATTCTGCATTCTCTGTCTCAGGTAGTGCTACAAGTAAATGAACGGTATGGCAGCAATGTAAAGTTTCTAGCCCCCGAGGCTTGGGCTATAGCTTCCTATTGTTAACAACAATAACTAGAAAGGGAAGAGGTAATATATCTTGTGTTCTGGCTGTAGCACTACAGAGAAGTTTCAGGACAATAACAACACAGTATTGGCTGCGAAGTTTTTAAAAAACAGTAGAAAAACACAGATTATTTCCCAGTTTTGAAATTCCTTCGTATCAAAAAACCTGATTGTGCTCAGTAAATGAACTAGAAATTTATTAAGAATAGGAAATGACAATTTGGAGGAGATAACATTGCCTTGCAATTTAATTGGAATTTCAAACAATTTCCAGGTAAGAGATTCAGGTTATCTGATCTGAAAGTTATCACCAAATATGTTTTACATACACTGAAGTACTAAGGCATCGATGTTGTAGATTTCCACAGGCATAGTAATGTTTCCGGTTTTTATGGTCGAAGGTATTTGTTATTGACTGACCTCCAATTCAGAGATAAAAGAAGCTGTCATGCACCAGACGTTCGTGACACAAAATTTGCAGGGAATTGAATGTTAAAACAACTCCCATTTCGAATCTAATCTATAGTCGAGGAGGTGGTGCGAGTCACCCCAAGGGACAGCTGATTGTTACGAGGGAGCTTGATGATTACATTTCATGATGCTGCCATTCAATTAACTAATGATTTGTGATGAAAAGCTTACAAAATAGTCCAGGCCAACTTAAAATACTGTTTGTGACTTCATCATAGATTGCAGAAGGCGGGAACGCTGAATAGACATTTAGAACTTTTAAAAAAACTGTGTTTCCTCGGGAAGGGGTAATTTCTAGTGTATGCTTTGCCACCAAGTGAGAGCTTCATTCGGTGTGGTTCAATATACTCTCTGCCTACCAGTTTGGATCTGTAAGCCCTTTCTAAATTGTGTTTCCAGGCAATTATACGACCAAGTAGCGAGTCAAAAGAGAACAACTATAGTTTAGGTATTATGAAGCGAAAGCAGTACCTTAATATTTCGAATTACATAAAAGACTCGAGAATCAATGATACTCCTAAACATGACAGACTATCGAAGACGATAATAAAAAACCAGGTTCAAGATGACCAGAAAACATACTTGATCAATTAAGCACACAGATGTCCTCAAGATTATTTTTTCAGAACATCGGAAATGAAGGCATCTTTTGGCATCTTACGTATGAAGGTATCAGTAAGAGCAGATTCAGATATAAAAGAAGCTGCGAAGAGACGGGAAGCCTGCGGCAGAAAAAGAAAATGCCCATCAAACCAATGTTTGAAGACTGTTATGATGCGAATTTTAACAAATGCCATTAACAAAAAAGGATCTTAAAAGAGCAGGTAAAATAGTTACTTTTATCCTATAAATCTGTTTGGTTGAATAAATAGAATAAAAAATAATAAACTTACAGTTCTGAAGAAAAAATTAACCCAGACATAAGCATGAAGTTGACAGGCCTGATTTTTCTTAAGAGCTTTATAATTAATTAAATATCATGGCTAACAAGAGATCGAGTGCAGAAATTAGTTAGTTTCACTTACCTCTTCTTTGCCAACTTGAACCTCTGTGACATAGATGTCATTAAAAGGTATCTTCAATTTTTCCAGTAAAGATAGTTCTGAGACAGGCGATATTGGTGTAACAACAAGATCGTCACTTACTGTGAACATTGCAGGATCTAGCAAAAACCCATCACCTTCTGTGCCCTCTTTGAAGGGTGATTTGGGATCCATTATAGTTAAAAGTGGGAGTGTAGAACCTTGAGGATTTTTGCTTTCAGTTCTTATTACATTCCGATCAAGGTAGTACTGCTGGTTATCAACAGCTTCCTTAACGCCTAGTGGCTGGTTCTTATAGCCAGAACCAGGTGCAATCTTAGGATTTAGAAGAATCTCTTTAATGTCATTTGACTTGAGGTATTTCATAGCATCGAGATCAATGACACTGTCATATAGGTGGTGGATGCTTCCTTTTGATTGTCCACCATGCTTTTTATTCATCAAATACCCAAGTGGAATGGTGAGAAAACTAAAAAGTAAATCAACGAAATCTTTTGACGCTTCTGCGTAACATACCACTTTCTTGGATTTGCAGACCACAAGCCTAACAAACGTCTCACCATTTCTTTTTGATTGATGCTCTAGTATTTCATGCATAAGAGAGGTTCTTTGAAGGGAACCTTTATTTCTTAACTCCGGAACTTCCTTACGAGCAAGCAAAACTTCGGTTAGAGGTGTCCTTGATACCAATGAGCACTGCAGCAATTCCAAGACCTAAAACAAAGACATTAAAATGGGTACCCGTACATAGAACAAGGCTAGACAACACTGCAACGGCTGATTTATTAGATCATACCTCTGTTACTCCAATGTCAAAAATCCTCTCCTCGATGTTACTTGTATCCATGACTCCAAGCTTTGTAAGAAGAGAAATGCTTGCTGAAATTGATGCTGGCATCACTTGAAAATAATCACTTACAACAAATGGGGCCAGTCCTTTAACAAACACTCCTCGATTTCTTTCGTCAGATCCACTATTGGATGGAGCTGGGCATGGTAGATTCAAAATACGGCTCATGGGACGTCCACAACCACAATAAATATTTTTGTAATGACTCCACAACTTGTATCGAGAATGAGAACAAACGGAATTCTCGCAACAAAAGAAACTTAAAGTATCAGCGTCATCAATTTTCAGTTTTAGGCTCTTACAATAAGCTGCAGCGGCGTTATGAGGATGTAGCAACATGTCCTTGCATGCTTCAGTCCGGAAATACTTAACATCTATATTTTCAACACTTTTATATAAGTTGTTGATGCAACCAATCCCATTTTTCGGTGAAAGATTACTGATGAGATGGGTGATTGTTCCCATGGGCATTGTCAAAAAACTGAAAAGGATGTCAACAAAGAACTCGTCAGATTCAACAAATACAACTCTGTTGCTCTTCTTGTCCACGGATGCCTTCAAGCTAATGGTTGCCATGGATTGAGATGAAATGGTGTTCAAGCAAGCCAACCAGACAACTCAATCTGCAGTCAGGAGGTGGTGACTGTTGATACAGATTTTGGGCAACAGCTCTGGTACCGACTGTTGGGTATGGATTCTGGTTACAATGGTCAATGGTGGGTAAATAAAACACAGTAGTCTCTTATTTAGTGATGTTTCACACGCACACCATAAGAGTGTATATAGAGGTTGCTTGGTCGGTGAGGAAGCCTAAACTTTTTCACTGTTCTGTTAAAATAATATTTTTAAAAAATTTTTTGGTATTATAATATTAAAACTATTTGGAAACATTAAAAAATTAATTTGAAATAAAAATAAATAAATTTTTTAAAAATAAAAATATCAACCTCAATTCTGAATTGGATAAATCATACTCTTCGTTACTAAGTAATGCATCTTGCTTTAATTATTATTTGTAAACACATTCTTTTTACTTTTTGTGATGAGAATGTTTTGACACATTTTATTTTCTTATATGAAGGTGCTTTTAAAAAAATATATTAAAATAATTTTTAATTTTTTATACTAACACATGAAAATTATTAAAAAACATTAAGAAATAAATTTAATATATTTTAAAAATAATGCTTTTCTTTCCACATGGGCACTGACTTGTGACTTGTTCACACCAACAAATATTTCCTTGGCAGCTAAGGAATTCTAGAAAAGTCTTGACTGATCTTCAACAGCGCTGAATTCACTGTTCGTTCGTTCAGATACGTACATTTGCGTTGTGGATTCACACAGTCCAAACCTCTTTCTTTCTTCAAATGTTTTCAAATAACAGAACAGTAAAAGGCGACACAAAGCTTCTCTTTCCCGGAAACAAGGAAACAAAAATTTATGGATAAAAAGTTACAGCTCACTCTTCTTTTCCTCCAGATGAAAAAAGGCAGAAAAAGAGAAGGCAGGATTCACAAGGAAGTTGAATCTGGAAACTAGCTTTAGAAAATGCTTGCAAATGTTGCTGCTTCAAATAATATTAACTAATTAGTAGGTAGACAATATTCTTACTAAGATCATTCATGAGTTTCGAGATGAGTTCTATTATATTGTAAGCTTTGGTTATATTCTTTTAATTATTGAATAAGTGAAATTCAATCAAAAAAAGCTACATAACATTTCACTTTTAAGTGGAGTTACGAATGAGTGAAATTCAGTCAAAAAGAGCCACATAACATTTCACTTTTAAGTGGAGTTACCTTGAATTATTAGGGTTAATAATACTATTGATCATTATCCTATTCAAAATTCATAGGGAAGTTGAATCCTGGAAGCTAGCTTTAGATTAGCTTTACAAAATGTTTGCCAATGTTGCTGCTTACAGTAATAATTAAGATGATATTAACCAATTAATAGGTGGACAATGTTCTTACTGAGATCATCAATGTGTTTCGAGATGGGTTCTGCTATGTTGTAAGCTTAAGTTATATTCTCTTAATTATTTAATGAGCAGAATTTGGTCAAAAAGAGTAAGATAATCTTTCACTTTCAAGTGGGGTTGCCTTGAATTATTAGGGTTGATAATGCTATTGATCATTACCCTATTCAAACTTCACAAGGGAGTTGAATACTGCAAGCTAGCTTTAGAAAATTCTTACCAATGTTGCTGCTTACAGTAATAATTAAAATGATATTAAATCAATGTTGCTGCTTATAGTAATAATTAAAATGATATTAATCAATTAGTAGGTGGACAATGTTCTTACTGGGATCATTCATGTGTTTCGAGATGGGTTCTGCTATGTTGTATGTTGTAAGTTTCGGTTATATTTTGTTAATTATTTAATGAGTGGAATTTGGTCAAAAAGAGCGATATAATCTTTCACTTTCAAGTAGGGTTGTCTTGTAGTTGAATTATTAGGGTTGATAATGCTTTTGATTAGTGTGGTTGTGGTTAATAATTTTTTATATTAATAATATTTTTTATTATAATTATATTACATTAAACATGATTTTAAATTATGTTACATGCATTATAATTATATATTATATTATATTATATTATAAATTTTCATTACATTAAAAAAAACATCAACTTCATGTGAGAGGGAATATTATGGATTCACATAGTATTTGCTCTGTTTTATTTTGCCACTTATTTTTTTTTTTGCTCAACTTAATCATTCCATGTTTAGCCAATTTTAGGTTGGGGTATATGATTTGTCTCACTTAACTCCACAAGGGTTTTTTGAAATATTTAAAAATAAAATTGGGTGTTAAATTGATGATTGATTTGGTAAAATTAAATTCAATTTTTTTTTATTAAACATGATTAATACTCTAAGAAATAAAATTGTTCATCTCTGCATTAACTGAACTTCAGCTTTTATACAACATGTTTGCATCTTTTCCAAAAAAAAAATAATAATTAAAAGATGACCCCATAAACACAAAAAAAAAAAAAGGAAAGAAGAAGCTCATAGGCTTGCAATGACATGCTCAATTTTCCAAGCTCGCTCGCTTTCTTAGTTTTTTATTTATTTTTATTTTGTTTTTGAACATCTTGTATCCAACTTGTTCAAGATAAAATTATTTAAAATATGTTTGATATATTTAAAAAATATATATTTTTTAAATTAGATTAATTAAGAATATATTTTAAATATAGATTAATTAAGGATACATTTTAAATATTATGAAACAATTAACCTGTTTTACACCGCGAGTTAGATCAAAAAAATTTTAAAATAAAAAAAAATCTTCATATTATAAATAATTTTTCTAGTAGTAAAAAAAATTAAATTATCTGGAAACTGATATGATATAACTTGATTATCTTGATGAGTCTAAATATAATTTAGAAAACTGATAAAAATATAGTTTGATTCAAAATAAATATTTAAGGTGATATGTTTTTAATAAATATAAAAAAATAACATATTAGATTGATTCGGGTCATCTCGAATTTAAAATATGTTTGATATATTTAAAATATATATTTTTTCTTATATTAGAGTAATTAAGGATGGTGACCCTGATGATTACAGGTGGTGCTGCAGAGAAACCATTTCACCGTGCAGTTCAATTTCACTACAAGCAGCACAAAAAATAGACTATACCAACTTAATAGTGTTTGTAACTTGACAAATTCCAGACGTTGATACACCACTACTGTGTATCAATCTAGGCCTGCTTCAATCCTTCCTCAAACTGGTTTGTTCCTTGTGTGTTCCAAGTGTGCAACTATTTGATTGTATACTTAAAGCTACGAGAGTTCAACCACCCCAGCATCCAACATGAAGTCAAAATATTCTTTTGTTTTGGCCTGAGATTCAAAATGGATACCTTGATTTAGGCCCTGTCGAGGCTTAGTTCATAATACTCTACAAATTTTGACTATGGAAATACCATTCCCTGAAAAATGTGTTGTTGTATATTTCAGACCTAGTGTGAAATGGTAGACCCTTTTGAGTTGCATTTTCCTGCAACATCAGAGAACCATTCTTCAAATGTATTCATTCAGGAATTCTGAAGCAAAGGCAGGATTATAGTTCCGAATCGAACAAATGCCTTATACTAGATAGCCAGTAATACTACCGGAACCACCTATACAAGGCATGTCATGGGTCAATACAAAGCTACGAAAGGTGGATTATCACATTGATTGGAAGACGTTCAGGATGACCGGAGCATCCTTTATGTTCAATTACGCAAACGAAGATGTTCTCAGTATTCTTGGTTTGGAACTTTGCAGATGAAGGTATTTTTTTTGGCTCTTTACGGATGACGGTGTTGGTTAAAGCAGATTCAGAAATCCAAGAAGCTGCCAGGAGACGTGAAGCCTGCAACAAAAACACAAACCCACTGGATATTAACAGGTGATATAAAGCTAAAACCCCTTTTTTAGATTTATAGTTGGGTTTGACATCCTGATGATTCAAACCAGACACTTCAGGATTTCATTTTGCTGTTCAAAAAGCTATTGTGATGCAGTGCAAGGCGAGAGTTCCTTATGATTCCTTGTCGTTGTGTGGATTAAGAATGTTTTGTGTTGACGAATGATTTTCTTTTATTTTTTAATTTGATAATCAGTAATACTACTGTTAGGATGCTGGCATGTAAACCCAACAAGATAAAAGATAAGAGACAGGATAAAATAAGAAATGGAACACACAAGAATTTACGTGATTCACCCAATTGGGCTACGTCCACAGACAAGTGTAGAAGGATTTCACTAAGTAATATGGAAAATACAACCTCTCTCGAATAATAGGAGAACAACTAAGAATCTCTCTATTATTAGGAGAAAACACCTCACTTACTCTATCACAAATACCTCACAAGTGTGGGATTACTCTCTCTTCACTCTCTTCTTCTTCTCTCTATTTTGGTGTGCATATAGACTTGAATGCATTGACTATTTATAGGCAAGAATGAGGGTATAATGGTTATAAATTTAGGAGTAATTTATGCCTAACAATTCATCATCCATTCATTATACCAACTCATCCTCCACTCATTATACCAACTCATACTCCACTCATCCTACAACTCATTTCCCACTCAAATCTCATTAATTATGCCACCTAATTACATGACTTTACAACTATGAGTCGAATCTTGTAACTTCGCTAGAGAGTTAGAGACTAAAGCTCATTCTCTCCCTGTTAGCTATTCGTCCCCTTTGCCTTATGCTCTGTTATGTAGCCATGGTGATGACAAATGGAACTCTCAACACACGGTTGTTTTCGTGTTTCTTGAAATGTACTCGACAATCAAACTCGTATAGCTCTTGCGTAATTAATTAATTATGGCTTCATCTTCTCCACATGTGGCATGTTTTAATCTCATTTGATACTGATAAACCTCCACTAATTTCCCAATTTCATTTTCAACAAGTCTTTCTCGTAAAAATACACGAATGAGGTAAGAAAAGAAAGCTACGAGCTAAAGTTTTTGTAGAAGTCCAGAGCCCCAGAAATTGTCTCTCTGTTTTTTTTTTCCAGCACAAAATAATTTGTACTAGTTTATTAACCCGTACAACATCGCGGATTGGAGTACAACAAACTTTAACTCAATAAAAAAAAATCTAAATATTGATAATGTATTTTATAAAAAAAAAAGATTTTAATCATTTTTTAAACTAAAAAGTTTAAGTAAATTCGATTCAACCAAATAAATTCATGATATGAGTTATGCACGTCATTAGATTCAATAAATTTTTACACTAAATATTATTTTCATTTAATTGTACAATGATAAAATGATAAAGCGAATGAGAATTTTTTCTTATAAAATATTTTTTTAATAGGAAAAGAATTATGCTAGATGCGTGTTGTTGAGATAGCAACAGTTGATCATTGATAACAAATAATAAAATTATATTTTTTTAGTTTTGAGCTAAATTAAAAAATAAATCATCAATAATAAAAGATGAAATTATATTTTTTTTTTAAATCGAGGGACAAAAAAACAAATAATAGTTAGAATGTTGCAGATGAACCATGTAACCTGCAACCCAATTCATGAACTCAATTGAGTTCAATGATTTATTTTTTTATTATTTTTTAAATTAGATAGAAAATAGCAAAAAAAAAATTTTAAAAAAAGCAAGCCACAACACATTGGTAAAAAAAAATTAGCCCAGGCATGTAAGCCTTTTAGCTTATGGTCTTGGACCTAACTTTATTTTTTTAAAAAAAATAAGATAAAAGACGGCATGTCGTCTGATTTGTGCAGAATCTAGCAACTAGAGAAGACTGGAAAAATTGAGTGTTGGTTTTTTGTTTAAAAACTCATTTTCAACATATTTTTGACAAAAAAACATATAGGAAATACAATAAGGACCTCAATAAACCTATCTATAATCTTTAAAAACCCAAAAAATAGCTCAAATAACCAAAATTAACCTGAATTAAAAAACATTCTCATGATTAGATCTACCTTATCGAGTAAGGAGAAGGAAAAAAAATATTTGGGTTGAACTCCTCTAACAAAATGAAATTCATTGATACCAATTTCAATTATTTTAGTGATTGTATTGTTGTCAATAATTACTTTCTCTCTATTTGCAGGAGTCAAGTGCCATCTCTTTCTCCTCTTATAAAAAATGAAAAATTAGGAAAATTAACTTTGGTACCAAAATTAAATTCCTAAAAACTAATGGGATCAGCCACTTGTAAAACGAAAAATATGAGGGACTAAAATAAATTTTTTGTATAAAATATAAAACGAAAAATACAAGGGATTAAAATAAATTTTTTGTATAAAATTCAAAGTTATGTATTTTTTTTGTCCTTTTCACTTTGGTTTTGTATCTTTCAATCTAGTATCTTATTAAAAAACACATGTAATTGAATACTAATTCAAGTTTAAAAGAGCTCAACTGTGTAAAGAAAATGTCTGAAAATTAAATTAAATTTTTTAAAAAAATTATAATTTCAATCTACAATGATTTATAAGAGAATAAATAATAATTTCAGCTACAGTGAAAAATAACAAAAGGCTTAATTTCTGTTAATAATGATTGATAAATTAAAGTATTTTCATGTTTTTGTCCTTTTATGGATAAATGCAGCCCAACATGATTAGCGAGATTACAGTCGTAAATAATTTTCAACCTTTAAAGCATACCACTTTACACCTGCTACCATGAAGTTTCAGCCTCGCTATTTTCACCTCGTAGTAAGCGTCGTCAGGCCATAGAAACATGGAAAAATTTATAACTGTAACCAGTGTTATTAAACCCGGCCCGGCCCGGCCCGGCAGGTCACCCCGGGACCCGGCCGCCCTGGTGCCTGGACCGGTTCGGGTTTAATAAAAGACCGGCTGTGGCAACAACCCGGTCAAACCTGGGTGACCCAGCGGGTCAACCCATGACCCGGGCAACTCGGGCAAACCCAGACGAGACCCGATTTTTTTTTTTTTAAATGTGATATTTAAAACTCATTAGTATATATACTCTATGTTCCCAAGAAAAAAGTAATATTTTTTCAATGTGGATAAAAAACTATTTTGTTTAAATACTTTAACTTAAAATGATAACATAATATATTTTCAATATGAGATTTGAAACCCTTTTGTATATATACTCTATGTTCTCGAGAAAAAAAAAATCATGTTTTTTCAATGTAAAATAGAAAATCTTTTGGTTTAAATATTTCAACTTAAAAAGATAACATAATATCTTTTCAATATGGGATTTGAAACCTTTTCGTATATATACTATCTACTCCTATGAAAAAATAATATTTTTTCAATGTGAAAAAATAATATTTTTTCAACGTGGGATTTGAAACCAATTAGTATATATACTCCATGTTTCCAAGAAAAAACTCATGTTTTTTAAATTTGAAACCTTTTCGTATATATACTCTATGTTCTCAAGAACAAATTCATGTTTTTTCAATGTGGGATAAAAAACCTTTTAGTTTTAAATACTTCAACTTAAAAAGATAAAATAATATTTTTTCCATGTGGGATTTGAAACCCTTTCGTATATATACTCTATGCTCCCATGAAAAAAATCATGCTTTTTCAATATGGGATTTGAAACTTATTAGTATAAATACTATATATTTTCAAGAAAAAAGTTATATTTTTTCAATGTGCGATTTGAAACTTATTAGTATAAATACTATATGTGCCAAAAAAAAAAATTATGCCTTTTCAATATAGGATAAATTTTTTAAAAAAATATTCTTTTAAATTTCATTGTTTACAATATGTATAATTTATATTTATATATATTTTTTTATATAAAATATTAAAACTTTATTTTTTTTTAATTTTTACGGGTTGACCCCTAAAACCCGGAACCCGACCCCTTGATCGGGTCAACCTCCGGGCCGGATTTAATAACTATGATTGTAACAGCTACAAAAAAGATAGTAGTGATCAAAAGAAAGAGTATAACATTAGGATCCATGAAATAATGATAAAAATTCTTTCATGTTTTTTAAATTCTTTCTCGTATTTTACTCTTCTCCTTGTATTTATTTTTTTTCAATATTATATAATATATTAAAAGATATTAATTTTTAATTACTCATCAAAATAAATCATTATGAATTAAAACAATATAATAATATAATAATCATTACCAAATAAACTTGTTAAACATATATAGTTGAGGTGAAATTATCTTTTTTATGGGATGTGTTTGTCATTAAAAGAATGACCGGGGACTAACATGGCTGCTAGACACCTAGCACTAAGGTCATACATGTTTGTTAGATTCTAGACGCTCTGGTCTGGTAACACAACTAGACCCTAAATGCTTGGGTCAGCCATGACTATCAAACCACACCGTCTTAGGTTTTAAAAAGGTTGTTAGACCTAGACGT